TCCTGGAGGATCCCCATGGATAGTGGAGCCTGGCGGGCTACAGTCCATAGGGTTGCATAGGGTTCAACGACTGAAGTGACTTAGCACTTAGCACATAGACTCTCTCATTTAATCCTCACAGGAAACCTTTCACTTTACAGAATAAGAAACATAAGCCCAGAGAGGTTGTGTAACTTGCCCAATGTCACACAGGCAGTGAATAACTGTCACGATCAGATTCCAGGTCTTACCTTGTAGTGAGCTCAGTGGTGGCCCCTCAAAGGTAAGTCCATGTGCTAACCCCTGGAACATGTTGTAAGCGTGACCTCCTTTCGAAAAGGAGTGCTTGCAGATATACTTAAGTTAAAGATCTAGAGATGAGATCATACTGAATGAGGGTGTTCCCCAAGTCCGGTGGTGAGGACCCTGAGATGGGACACACAGAGAAGGTAGCGAGAATGAAGGCAGAGGCAGAGATAAGAGTGATGCAATGACAAACCAAAGGCCAAGGATGGCCTGCAGCCACCAGAGGTGAGGACAGAGGTCTGGGACAGATCCTCCCTCAGAGCCTCCCAAGGAACCTTGCTTTCAGACTTCTGGCCTCCAAAAATGTGAGAGAACACATTTCTGCTGCTTTAAGCCATTTCGTTTGTTCATTTGTTCCGGCAGCCCTAGGAAATGAGTATAGACCCCAAACCACATGGCCATGTACCGTGCCTCCTGCCAAGCCTGGAAGGGAGCAGCCCTTGGAATCCCAGGCTGTGTGACTATGGCCTGGCCACTCGCCTTCCCTGGCCCTGATTTCTCTGTAGCAAAAGAAGCACTTGGGGCTCTGAGTGTCCCTCCAGCTCTGACATTCTATAGCCCTAAGTAAAATCATGAGCCGGGCAAGCAGGCCTCTGTTGGGATTTTCAAATTTATTCCAACGTGCTTTTTTTTTTTTAAAAAATATCCTCAGGCTGAACACTCAGCCAGAGCTATAATAAAGGCAATTATTATACTTGTAAAAACTTCTCATTCACAGTACAGATGTAATTTACAACAAAGGTCACACATCAATACTGAGCAGTATTTTCTTTTTGTACATCAGACTCTGTGCTTTAGACCTGTGGGAGTTTTTGTTTGTTTTTTTTTCCTTTTGCACTGATATATATACCATACCGACATTGCAAGATGCAAGTAGAGAAACTGGAGTTTAAATAAAATTACAGGCAAAACTACCCCATCCCAGTGTGGTTGCTGTACATATCTACAGTACGATTTTTGGAATGTATTGCCATATAAGAACATAGAAACTCTCTACAGACAATTTCACATACGGAATACATACACCTTTTAGGGGAAAAAAAAAAGGCAAATTTGTATCTTACAGAGAGCATGTTATCTTACATTTGCCTATACATTTCTTTTTTTCTGTTTCTTTTCTCTTCCTTTTTAAACACTAGGCTTAGTAAAGTGATCATAAGTGCCCAAGCGGTTTTCTGATGGAAAGCAGACAGGATTCGCGACTCAGGAGCAGCATTGGTGGAACAGGTCTTTGGGAACTTTCTCCCCTTGGTCAGTGCTGCAGATCTGTCTCCAAGGACGGCTGCCCAGACAGGACTTTTACTTTGAAGAGGTTTTGTCTGGAGAAGGGACTAGAAAGCAATTCAGCTCAGTTATCTTGCTTATTCTTATTCAAAAGTGTTGGGTGAGGATGGAGCAGGGGCTACAGGGATCCAGAAATTAAATCTTTCAGACCTGTTAACACAGAGAGAGGTGGAGGGACAGCTGGGTCTGGAAGTTGGAGGTGATGGAGATGGGAGAGTGGGCAGTTCGCTGCTGTTGGCTTCCTGGAGGGTCTTAGTGGTCGGGGGCTTGGGGGGTGGTGGGGCAGGGGGAGTTGGCTTGTAAAAGGTGCCTTGGAGAGGAACAGGTTAGTTCCCAGAATGACCCTGAGCTTGTCCGGAGGGTGAAGGGCATCCTGGAGGGTAGACCTGGGGGCCGGCTGGCTTGGAATCCCCATGACAAGGGCTGGCTCGGAAATCCCAGCAAGTTGGTTTCTGGCCCCCAAGCCTGCCGACACCCGAGGACGAGAGCCGGCCTGTACCCAGGAATGACTGTCCTGGACATTTCAGCAGAACAAGCGACAGGTGTCTATGCCAATAATTAGCACTGCTTTCTCCACTGTGTCCCTTAACAGGGACAACAGTGTCACAGGCAAGCTGGGAAGGTGCAAGTGGTTGGGAGCAGGGCAGGAGGAGAGGAGGGTGTGACATGAGAGTCTTTCCCTTATCATGCAGGTGTGCGTGCGGGCTGGGAGCTCTGTGTTTGGGGGAGCAGGAGTGGAGTGTGGCAGAGGGGGTGAGAGCCAGGCCCAGGGACACATAGCCCAGGCGGGTGGCATCAATTCCATTTCTCTGGGTGCCTGTGTAGGGCAACAACCTTTTGGCCAGCTTGCTTGGACATTGTGTCTGTCATTGAGAAATGGGTCTCTGGTGACTCCTGGCCCCCATCCCCTCTGCCGATACCTGACTCTCCCCTGTTGGCCACCACCGGCCTTGACTAGGGCTCCAGGAAGGAAACCTTAGTAGTTGGGCTGTCTTGAGTACCCAAGGAATGATGTCAGGGGAGAGCTGTGGGGCAGGGCTTGGAGGAGGGGCCTGGCTACCCCCAAGGTCAGGGGCTACTCTAGCAGAGCCCCCTGTTTGCTGCTCTGTAGGTCTGGAGCTGGAAGATCTTGCCCAGGAAGATTTCAAGCCTGGGCTGAAGCACTGCCCTTTATCCAGCTCCCAGGCCTCAGCCCTTGAAGTCTCCAGTCCTTAGGCAGCCACCTTCCCATGCCCCTCACCTCTGCCCTGGGGTGAGGTTGGAAAGCAAAGGTGAGGAAAAACCCAGCCTCTGGCTTACGCTGTGACTGGGGCCCGGGGCTCCTTCCAGCTTTCTGCCAGGCCCCACCAGTGCCAGCATAGCCAAGGCTGGGCTTGTTAGCTTTCTTCTAGGGGGAACAAGAGCTTCAGACCCTGGGTCAGGCAGCCAGAAAGTGCTGGCTAACCCCTAGCCCCAGCACCCTGGAGCCCAGCCATCCCCTCTCCTAAAGAAGCCCTTCCCTATTGTTCCCTTTTTGTCTAGCCAGAGGGAAATGAACCAGGTGGTCTGGCTGGAGGCTGACTGTGGCTAGTTTGTCCTGGCAGCAGAGTCCAAGGAGGGGAAAGTCCTGAAATGGTGGAAGAGGGAATTATGCCCAAGGGTAGGAGCCCACAGAGGTGCCTCTGCATGGTGTAGCTCTCTGCACCTTATGGTGTCCTGTCTAAATAACTTCAATAGCCCAGGAGCCCCCTCTGGCCACAGGATTCATATAGCCTGGCTGACGAATGGGGACGGGCCAAGGAGGTCCCTGCTCCACGGCATTAGCACCTAGCCTGGCTGGGCTATGACCACGGTCCTTGTGCTTTCTCCCCCTGGTAGAAACAAAATAAAATAATTTCTGGGGTTGGGGAAACCCCACCTATCCCAGGGCTGGGTAAACATGCTAGAGCTCAAGTTCCGTATTTCAACTTGGGATTTTAATTTTTAGTCATGTTATTATTATTTATTATTATTTTTTACAAAGCAGGCTTTTGCCCCAGAAAATACAGGGCAGCTTCTTAAAGGAGGAGATGGGGATGAGGATGAGGCACTAGTTATTCTTGATTGCTTTGGAGAAGAACTGAAATGACCTCGGACAATAGGAGGCTAGGGGAAATATCAAACACCATTCTCTTTCTACATATATATATATATATATATATATATATGTATATGTATATATATACATATATAATTTTATTTTTTAAAAGAGATTTAAGCCAACCAATAGGAGGCCTGGGCAGTTCCCACCAGTCTGGGAACTTCCTGGGGATAGTAGAGGCCTGACAGTGTGTGATACAGAAACAGGAGGACCGATCCTGCTGCAAAGAGGTCCAGAAATGAGTCCTTGGAAACTTCCAGTGCCAAGTACCGGAAAAGCCCAGTCATGGAGGAAATAGAGCCCTTTGTACCCCAGGGACCAAATGTGAAATGAAGCCCAAGCCTGGCCTTGGGAATGGCAAGGCAATGCACCTTGGATCTTGACCCCCAGGGGTTAGGCCTTGTCCCTTCAGCCTTGTGGGTAGTTTCTAGAACAAAGACGCAGCAGTGGCTGGGGCCCTGATAGCGAGGCCGAGGTCAGGTTCTCAGGAACAGGGAGATGGGTGGTCAGGGCTCCTTCCCCAGTCCAAAGGTTGAGGGCGGGGTGTGGAGTAGAGGTGCTGGGGTGGAGGGACTTGTCTACGGGTCAGATGCCAGAATGGGATCACGATTCAGACCACCAGGGTGTCTGGGAGCCCTGGGGACCCAACCAGCAACTACCTTCTACTTGCTCCAAATAGTCTGTGTTGAATTCATAGGAAAATTTACCTTTTTCTTTGGAAAAAGAAAGTTGGAGTTTTCTGGGCCTGCCCATGGAGTCTCCCAGCCTTGTCCCTCTGCCTTGGGCCGCTGACCCTTCTGCTAGCAGCCAGGGGAAGCCACTTAGCTGGGGTGGGATGAAGCAGCAATAAATAGGAACCATAAACATCTGTACATATGAGTGCTTGCTTTTACATTTACTTATATATTTTTAAAAGTTTCTTTTTTTTTTTCCTCTGTCTCTCCCTCAGTGCATCCCCTTTCTTTCAGCAACTGACTGCCTCTTGCCAGCTTTGTGGATGGCTGCTGATCGCAGTGGCCCAGGGTGAGGCCCCATCTAAATATTCACAGCCTCAGTCTCCTCGTGGGTTTTTTTTTTTTTTATGTTTGTGTGTGTGTTGTTTGTTTCAAGCAACAAAAGGTCATAGAAAAAGGCACAGGTAACTGCATACGAGGTGGGAAGATAAGACAGACGGGGGCGCTGAGCAGAAGCTGCTTGGAAAGATCAACAGATGGGACACGGAGCCCATGACAGCAAGATGATTCGAGGAAGTCGGCTGGAAATGTCTGTTGCCAAACACCAGAAGCCAGATGCTGAAGCGGTCAGGGAGAGGCTAAGTGCTCCGGGGCCCCCGGTCCTCGGGCTGGTGTGGAGGTGCCCCGGGCCCCCCACTTCCCAAGGGCTGGGGGGAGCCCTGACTGGTCCTGGGTTCCCCAGAGAGGTTCCTCCTTCGGGCTGGGAAGTGAGCAGAGGTCTCGGCCAGGCAGCCCACAGAACTGCTGCGGTCCAGCGGCGGGGTGGCGGAGGCCGCAGGGTTGGCCGGCACCCGAGGTGACTCCAGGTGGGGGCTCCGGGACTCTGCCCGGCGGCCCAGGGGTGCCCGGGGTGAGGCCTCGGGTGGGGTGCGGGGGCTGTGCGTCGGCGCGGGCTCTGTGGGCACTTGGGACGCATGGGGCTCCCAGTCGGGAGGTCTGCCCAGGCCCCCTCTCGTCCTCCCCCTCTCCTTGGGGTAGTCCCTGGTCTCCAGCTCCGAGGAGAGTGTGAATTTGGAGACCTTGGCCACGGGGGACACAGAGGCCGACGAGCTCTCGGTGGGGCTCCAGCGGCCTCGCTCCTGGGCCTCCCGGGACCCCGTCAGGTCGCTTCCGCCCCCCGAGAAGCCGCTGATCCAGGCCTCGCGGGGCCCGGGCAGCAGGACAGGGTGGGCCCCCGGCCGGGCCTGCACCATCTGGATCCCGCCGATGGGAATCAGGGGGCACGGGGCGCGGGTCAAGCGCTGGGAGTGCAGAGGCAGGTGGCTGAAGATGTTTTCCGTCCGGGCCGGGCTGTGGCCGTGGAAGTCGTGGGGGGCCGAGAAGGGTCGGGAGAAGAGAGGAGGAGCGGGGGCAGGTGAACAGGACGGACTTGGCGACTCGGCCTTCTGCTAGGGTCAGAAAAGAAGACAGAGGGAGGCGAGGGTTACCTGCTGGGCACCTGGAGACCCTGAGGACTAGAGTGAGGAGGGGACTTGGTGAGATCACAGAGCAGGTCCTGGCTGAACGAGGCCACCACCGAGTCCCAACCCTTGCCCATGGTGTCGCCCTGGGTGGGTGCCCTCTCTGGAATGGGCTGTCCCCAGCCCTGCAGTGACCACAGGCACACTCAGGAACCAAGGTCCCCACGCTTCCGGCCGGTCTTCAGAGAATGGGGATGCCCTGTCGGCTCTCATGACTCTGTCGGTTCTGCTGCCTCTCCTGTTCCTCAGACAAGACTGACCCAACTTTACCCTTGAACGTGAGTTCCCACCCCAGGCTCTTAACCTCCTCCTAACACCAAGAATCCGTCTGCAATGTGGGAGACCTGGGCTTGATCCCTGGGTTGGGAAGATCCCCTGGAGAAGAGAAAGGCTACTCACTCCAGTATTCTGGCCTGGAGAATTCTATACAGTCCATGGGGTCACAAAGAGTCAGATATGACTGAGCGACTTTCACTTTTTCACCACCAGGAATTTTAACTTGAGCCCCAAATTAAAAACCAAGATTCCTGGATGGTGCTACCCCTGGAGCTCGAATCTCTGAGTGATGGTGCTGATGCTGCTGGCAGTGAGCAGAGGTGTTGGGTGCTGACAATCCAGTGACAGAAAAGGTGTTGGGAGGGGAAAAGTAAGCCGACGATGATAACAGTGTCAGTGCTGGGGATCGTGACCGTGGTGGTGACAGTGATGTGACAACGGTGATCAAACTTAAGCCGGGGGGGGGGGGGTGGTGGCTGGAGTGTACTGATGGCAGATGGCACTGGTGATGCGACAGTGATGGTGCTCATGGTAGGATGGGATGGAGTTGGCTGAAGTGACTCGGAGGGTGCTGGTGGCAGTCATGTTGGCGATGTGGAGATTTTGGTTGGGCTCTGCCATCTGCTCAAAGAATACGTGGAAATGGAGTGGGAGAAAGTGGCATGAGTATTTATACCCACATCTAAGGCCACACTGCTCGTGAGTGACAGAACCTGCAGTTAATTCTGGGAAGTCCAGAATTAAAAAACCACCGGTCGTCCCTGGTGGCTCAGATGGTAAAGAATCTGCCTGTGATGCCGGAGACCTGGATTCGATCCCAGGGTTGGGAAGATCCCCTGGAGAAGGGCACGGCAACCCATTTCAGTATTCTTGCCTGAAGAATTCCATGGACAGAGGAGCCTGGCCAGCTACAGTCCATAGAGTTGGACATGACTGTGCAACTAACACTTCCACTTTCACTTTCTTTCAGTCCAGCTCCAGAGTCCATGCTCTGCTGCTTCTGACACATAAGTAACTGGCTTCATGGACCCAGCACAGTGCCTGGAGCAACAGGCGCCCAATGCATGCCTTACTGGTAACTGCTGAACCGGCAGGGGTGCAGCTCCGGGTGTGACGCTCAGGGAGGTGTGAGCTCGCGGCCCCCCACCCATCAGCCACTTGGGGGACAGGAACTCACCCACGTGGAGGTGCAGGTCTCCGCTGGGCTTCTGCCGAGAAGCTTGTGAGGTAGAGGCGCGGGTGGGTAGAGAGCCCGGGGGGCCAGCCCTGAGCCTGGGCCACGCTCGGCTGCCGAGGGGCTGCCCGGCCCCGCCAAGGCCCACTTTCCTGGCAGCGCTGACCGTGGTGGTGACTCGGCCTGGCCTGGAGACCATCTTCTGGTGGGCGAGTGTCTGGGGGGGCCTGGGTCTGCAGCGCCCTTGCTTTCGGGGGGCAGGCGTGCTCGAGGAGGCAGTTCCCTTCCCAGGTGGTGGAGGGCAAGAGGAGACAGCTCGAGTCTAGGGGACCCGCAGGGGAAAGGGCCCGTCTGGGGGCCAGGCGGGCTCGGGGCTGAGGCCAGTGGCTCTCGGGCCGGTGAATGTCGCTGGGGAGACGAGTCGTTTTTGGTTAGTGAGTGTTCTGGGATGAGTGGTAGGTGGCTGCCTGCTTCTTTGCTTGGGGACCACGGCCTCCTCGGGGACACAGCCTGGGAGCTCAGGGCCAAGCCTGTGTCCTTCTCCACGGGGCCCCGGGGGGCTGGTGCCAGCCGGGGGAGGCACAGGATGCTTTGGCTGGATGTGGAGCAGCTGCCGGGTGCCGAGCGCTCGGCTTCTGAGACTGAGCTGCCCCGGGTGGCCTCTGTGGGCCGAGGGCCCTGAACAGGTGAGGAGTCTGCCGGCAGCGTGGCTGGCGGGCCAGGCGGGGGCGCCTCCGAGGACGGGCCTGATGGCTCGTCCTGGCTCTCCTCCTCGTCCTCATCCTCGTCCTCGTCCAGGTCCGAGTCCGAGCCCGAGTCGTCCAGGTCTGAAAACTGGTGCTCTGCCACGGCCTCCGCGCCCTCCCGCCCTTCCGAGTCCTGGAATGGGTCATCACTGGTTCCTGACGGACAGACACAGGAGAGCCGAGGTCACAGCCTCTCGCCTGCTGCTCGGGCCACAGACCCCGCCTGACAGCCAAGGTGGCTGAGGGTATGGGAGCACTTCGTAAAGACAGCAGAGATGACCTTGGATCTACCGTGTTCAGGTTCAGTTCTAGGACCTGCCTGTGCGTTAATTCACCTAATCCACAAATAATCCTGCCAGGTAGCACTATTCCTATCTTCATGTTACAGACAGGGAACTAAGATGACAGAGTTTACCTTACCTTGCCCAGGTAAAGTAAGTAGTAGGGCTGGGATCAAACCACAGCAAACAAGACAGCCCTTTTCTTTCTTTTTCTTTTTGGTTAGTATTCAGTGCTGGCTTCACCATGAGCAAGTTAAGTCACTCTGCTGGGCCTCTGTCTCCGTCTTTGTCAAATGAATATGGCAGTCTCATCTCATAGGGCTTACGGGGAGGAGGAGACACATGCCCGCACACAGCGAGGGCTCAAATATTAACTGGAGTCACTCAACGCGTTCATGGAGACATCTATTATTCTGGGACACAGCAGCCATTGCTGGCGGGTCCAGCAGCACTGGGCACAGTCAGTTTTACATACACACCTGCCCCTGTGGCCAGGCTACTGATGCCTGATACAACAGCAGGTGGCAGGCCCTGTTCTCTAGGAAGATTTGGCTAAGCTGACCTCAGCCCGCAGAGAGGGCCTCTTCCCAACCACTCATGTCCAGAGAAGGTGCTTGTAGAACTCCTGGTGCTCCCAGCTGGGGAGGAGAGTGGAGCTCTGAAATACCAGCCTCCTGGTCCAACTTCGGGTGGGGCAGCCCCACCAGCAGGGTCAGCTCTAACAGGACACAGGCCTAGTTTGGGCATCTCTGAAGGTGGCAGCAATCAGAACTCTGGGGAGAGCTCTGCTAACATCTAGCCCACCTGGCAGGCTCCTGAGGGTTTCGGTCCTGCTGGCCCAACACTAAGTTCATGTCAGCCCCCCTCGACTACTAAGAGAGATGACTCAGGGCACTGGTACAACCATGATTCTGGACCCCACCATGCCAAGCTGCACCGGGACCAGAAACCCCAGCATTTGTACTTTCAAACAGCTCAGCACTCAGCAATAAGATGCACACAGTGGATGACAGTCGGCATTTAAGAGGATGTAGATCAAAAACTATGGGGTGGAGGAGCTGGAGCTGTCAGGTGAAGGGCAGCCAAGGGCATGACCTCCTGGCAGCTGGGAGCAGAATGACCAGAGCGGGAGAAGGGGCTGGGGACCAGAGAGCAGGGGTCGTGAGGGGGGAGCAAAACATACCTTAAAGCTTTGCCCTAAGACTTTAGCCCCAGGAGTTCACCTAGCCTCACCTCTTGTCAACTGTGGGGAAACCCACGCCCAGAGCAGGCAAATGCTTCCCCAAGGTCACCCAGAAAGTAATGGCTGAGTCAAGCCTAAGGTTTATAACCCCTGCATCATTACGCTGCCAGTTTAAAAATGTTTTTATGCACTGAGAAGCAGGAAATGGTCTGGGTTTGAATCTCAGTCCCACCCCTTCCTTACTGTGTAATGTTGAATAATTCACTTTTTCTTTTTGGGTTCAGTTTCCTTGTCTGTAAAATGGCAGGGGGGGAGGGGTAAGAGTAATAAAAGCCACCTTATGAAGCTGTCGGGAGGATTGTGAGGGTCTGACACCTAGTAAGTAACCAATAAACCTCAGCTCTTCTCACTCCAAGTACCCCACAACCTCAACACACTGGCAGCACAGCCAGCATCTCACGCTGCAGTTGAAGGTCAGAAGGGTAGTGCTACCAGTCAGGGAGTCAGGATCAGCGGCTCCTCATATTCAGCAGGAAAGATCCTAAAGTCTCTTTGTAACAGACGAAGAAGCTGAGGGACAGAGAGGGCTGGTGCCCTGCCCCAGGCACCCAGCTCAGGAGTGATGGAAGCCAAGAATCCCCTGCCCAGCACAAGGTTCGCCAGGCCCCCCACATCTGGGCTCTTGCAGGGCTCTACGGGAGGCCCCTGCCGATCGACTATTCCTAAGGCCCCTCACTGTCAATCTCCACAAAGTCCCGCCTCTCTGGGGCCTGGGACGGGTGGAACGAAGCGCTCCGGGGCGCTGGTGGGGTCTGGCCACACGGTGGCGCTGGTGCTCAACCTCCTCACCCTCAGGGGCGGGGCTGCGTCGCCGTCCCGGCCAGCTCCCAACCACTTCGCGTCTAACAGACAAACTCCTCCCCGAATCTTCATCATCGCGGGAAATGGCAACTCCATCCTTCCAGTTTCCTAGGCCATAAACCTCGGAAATCATCCTTGGCTCTTTTATTCTCATGCTTTCACCTTCCACCCTCCGCCCCCCGCCCCCCGCCCTGATGAGTCAGCAAAACCTGACAGCACGTTTCTCCACCTCCCTCCGCCCACCCAGTCCAACACGTGCTCAGCCTGCATCAGTGCCTCCAGCCGCGCCCCACACCGGCCATCCTCTGCATACAGAGTCAGGGCAGTTGCTCCAGCACGCGGCTAAATCCATCTCTTGACCTTCACAGCCACAACAGCTCTCTGACTCTTGCCCTCAGGGGCTCTGCACCTGCTGTTCCACCTGCAGGGAGAGCCCTTCCCCGGGCTCCACATGGCTTCCTGACCCCTGCCTCATGCTCGCGGCTCACATCACCTGAACAGAGAGGCCACTCCCCACACTTCCCTACTTGTCATGGGTGCTTTGGTTCACACTCAAGGCTCTTGCCCTATCCCACATTTGTTCACTACCCGGCTCCCCTCTAGAATGCAGGCTTCCTGAGGACAGGAACTATATTTCATTCATTGAAGAATCTCTAGCACCTAGAGTAGAACTTAGAATAGGGCTGGTGCTGGCAGGAATTATTTCTAGAACGATTGCACTGGTTTCATGTGTTCTCAAATAAGGTCATCTTTTTTGGCCTCATTGGGAAAATGAAGCTGAAAGAGGGGCAGAGACAGTTCAGGGTCCCCCACGCAGGGCTCTGGGCTTGGGTGCAGCTCCCCTGTCCAGCCCACCAGGCACTGGAGTGGCATGGACCCAGGGTTTTTGTCTGACCTCAGGCAAATTCCATAACCTGTTTGAGCTTTACTAAATGTCTTCAATTTAAAAAGGAATGACACAAGTTTCTAACACAGTTATGAGGACTTAATGAGACATCCGTAAATGGCTTGATGTACTTTCTTGATAAACTTGGTAACCCCACATTCTCATTTTGGAGGCCACAGCTCCGAGTTCACTGTATTCTGTTCAATAAAGCTGATTCATTTCACCTAAAAGGAAATATGACCTAACTTGTTTTTAAGACTGCACATACATTCCCAAATCAGATAAACAGAAAGAAATAAGACACAGGAACACACACCTCTCCTTTTCACACTCTCTTGACTAAGATTTTAGGGGATCTGGTCAAAGGTTTGCTCACTGCGGAAGGACCATCTCTGGTTGCTTATCTACCCCCCAAAGCTGCTGCACTGGCCTCCTTCTTGGATGCTGAGGCCTGGCAGGGCCCAGCCAGACATGCTGACTTGGATTCGCCTTCCCCTCTGCCTTGTCTTCACAGAAACTGGCCCTAATATGGCTCTAATATTGCTACTGGGGGACTGAGGCTGGAGTGCGGTGCTGGGACATGGGATGGGATTGAGAGGTGACAGGGGGGCTGTCAGGTCTGCCTGGCTTCGAGTCTTTTTAAAGCCCCTAGCTTTAAAAGACCTGGGCATCAAGCCCATGTCCATAGTGTGGAGGTGTGAGTGTGGGTGTGGAGCATATAAGAGTATGTACCTCACTGTGTCATTGTAAGGATTTGCCAAGATAACCACAGCACGTGTCTAGAGTATGCCTGACAGAGTGGGTGCTCAATCAATGTTGACTATAATTACTCAAGTATTAATGTAACCACCATACATTCACTGAGCACCCACTGGGTGCTGGGTGCTCCAATGCGTGACAGACAGCAATGCACAAGTGCTCTGGCTCCAGGCGCGTGCTGTAAGGAGGGGCGTGGGTGCCATTGTTCTGTGAACTTAACCTTTGTCTCTTTGTATTTGGGAAAACTGGAGAAGAGGGTGAGGAAGGAGAGGAGGAGGGGAAGCAGAGGCAAGGAGGACAGAAATGAGGGGGAGGGCCAGGGGGCTAGGAGAGGGAGGGGAAGATAGGGGGAGGGGGAGGAGGGAGTTGGCAATTCATTACCTTCTTCGGCTTCCAGCTCCTCCAGCACCCCCGTCTCTTGGCACTTTTTGCTGTGGGCCTTCGACTTCATATGCTTAGTCAGATTCCCTGGAAAGGAATGAGAAGACTCAGGCATGGCTGGAGGGCAGGGGGCCAGGGTGGCACCTGGCAGGGCAGGTGCCAGGACATCCCTCTGCCCAGGAGCTCAGGTGGGGGTGCAGCCATGGCCGCCGTGCACGATGGTACAGAGGAGTTGGGTAGGGTGGGTGAGGGGCTGTGAGGGGACAGAGAGTACAATGAGGAAGTGAGATGCTGGTTAAAAAAAAAAAAACAAAAGGAGATTAAAAGACAAGTCATATGCAATAGTTTTTTTCCTGCCTTTTGGGCCCAGAAGCTGGTGACAGGATTGCTGACCATCTCAAATGCTGGGATGAGAGCAGGGTGCCAGCCCATGAACTAGCACGGGAGTGGGTACTGAGGATATCCGTCTGCTAGGCCAGCCCACAGGGAGGGATCTTAGGGTTTGGGAGGAGGAACCAGGACAAAGTTACTGCTATTAACAGACATGGAGAAAGGGCAGAAGGCATAGCGAAGTCTGCTAGACAGGGACCTGGGGGCCACAAGGCTGGGAATCATGTCCCCTTCCTGGGCCTCCAAGGTCACTGCCATGCAGACATGGCCAAGGGCGGTGCACACAGGGAAGGCTGAGCAAAGGCTGCGTCCTCCATGACTACAAAGCCCTCGGGGGGTGGCTGTCTCTGTCCGCAGTGGGCTGAAGGGCAGAGACAGCAGCTGTGTGGAATCAGGAGAAACACCACGACGCCGATTCTCCCCAATGTGTGCATGGCGCTTCACAGGCCACAAACCCCTATGAGCAGGAGCGTTCACGAAGGACCAGCAGGGGAGCCCCCGCTCGCCGCAGGATGCAGGCCAGGTGCCTCAGGATGTTCCTCTGGGCTCAGCAATCGCCTCCAGCTGTGATGTGCTCACTGTTGCTCTAGAGATTGCTGTGTTTCCATGTGGTCCTTCATATAATAAATCACAAGGCCCTTGAGTCAGGTATTCTGTCTCACTCAACTTATTAGCAGGTTTGAACAGATGGATGAAAGAGAGAAGAATGGACTCAAGGAACAGATGCGAAGAAAGATTGGTGGACAGATATATGGATGGATGGAGAAGTGGGTAAGAGGAAATATGGAGTGACAAACAGGATGAAGAGGAAGGATCCAGACAGATGGGTGGGATACTCAAGCAGATAAGCAGATGGACAGACAGATGGAGGATAAAAATAAATAGAAGGATAGATGGAAAATAGATCACTAAACATATGAGAAGATAAGAATGGGGAAGAAGGAGACCTGGGCAAGTGGGAGAAGGGCTGGTTGGATGGATGGATGGATGCAGCACATATAAATGGGAAGGCAAACAGACAGGAGGATAAAAGAATGGGAAGGTGGATGGAAGGATGGACTGGTGGGAGGACAAATGGGAGAGGTGGAGAAGCAGATGAGAGGGGAAGATGGGAAAACAAATGGATAGGAAGACAAACTCTTAGGATGAGAAGATGGTAGAAATGGATAAATGGGAGGATGGATGGGTGACTAGGGAGAGAGCACCCATGCATGAATGAAAGTGTTTTTCTTAATTATTTGGAGAATTTTAAGGAACCTTAGGGTTTTGCTCAGAGGTAACAGGAGCCTTAAGCTGAGATTGCCTGAGGTGTGCAGGTCAAGGGCAGCAGAGATGGAGAGAAGCTGTTTCTTTCCCCTTCCCTCCTGCTAGTCCTAAGTCTGTGACTCCATCCTTCCCTCAGATTTTCTTCCTTTAACTGGACAGAAACCTGGATCTGCTGCTACTGCTGCTGCTAAGTCGCTTCAGTCGTGCCCGACTCTGTGCGACCCCATAAACGTCAGCCCACCAGGCTCCCCTGTCCCTGGGATTCTCCAGGCAAGAACACTGGAGTGGGTTGCCATTTCCTTCTCCAATGCGTGAAAGTGAAAAGTGAAAATGAAGTCGCTCAGTCATGTCTGACTCGTAGCGACCCCATGGACTACAGCCTACCAGGCTCCTCCGTCCGTGTGATTTTGCAGGCAAGAGTACTACTCCTGGCCAAATGGGGAGCAGAGTCATAACTTCGAGTCATCCCAGGGCCAGAGGATCCCCAACGTCCCTGTCTAACACCATGGGCCTCTGCCCCCACTGTTGTGAGTAGGCAAAGCCTGAGCAGGATGTCAAGGGGCAGTCAAGGCAGCGGGGGGTGTTCCATAGGCCAGAGAGATCAAATGTCCCCTGAGGTTCTGAGACCAGCCTGCCATCCCCTGACTACCCCAGACCCCAGGGGACTAGCCACACTGCTCATTTTGGCTATGACATTATTTTTGGACCTGTTCTGTCTGGAAGGGTTGGGTCTCTTACTTAACCAAGTCAGGTGCTGAGCACACTATGGGTGCATAATAACCATAAGTGGGAAATGTTCTTCTAATCACAGAAGTAAAGTGTTGGGAGGAACCTCACAGACCATGTAACCCACCCCCTACCAGGTCCAGCGTCTTCCTGCTTCTGTTTTGACTCCTGGCCCTGGTGCTATGATGCCACTGGATGAGATAATCAGCTGTCTCAGGAGATGGGATCCTCTGGGACAGCTCCTGCTCACCATCACGGAGAAGCAAACAGCCAAAGCTACGAGACCAGTTACTGCAGAGCCTGTCTGGAGCCAGGTCTCAGGACTGCAGGTGCCTTGCGTGCTCCATACTGGTGAAACAGACCAAGGCATGGAGGAGCTTGGTGGCCTTGGGTCTTAGTCTGGGCTCTGTCGCTTGCTAGCTATGTGTTCTTGGGCAAGTGTCTTAACCTTTTGAGCCCCAGTTTCTGCAACTGTAAAGCTGTACCTACCTCGTGGGGATGCTGGGAGAAGCTGACGAACAAACACAGGTAGTGGCCGCAGAGCGTGACTGGCAGAGAGCAGATGCCACTGCGTGGAGCCTCCTTCCTTCCCATACTGTGTGCTCCCCCACCCCCTGCCTCCAACAATCAGTGTTTATTGAGCACCTGGGAGACTGCCACAGCCACACACTGGCTGTGGAAGAGAGAGAGATGCTGAGATGATGACTGTGATGTAAATGTTTTCACCAGTCTGTCTGGGCTCAGCAACCCCAGGAGAGGGTGCCAGGCAGCCCCTGGGTGCCAGCTTCTCCTCTGCCCCTGCCCCGGAGGCTGCAGAGAAGAGCTGGGAGTCTGAGTGGCTGCTGGGATAGGCCATGGGGACACAGGGGTGGATGTGCAGCCCTAAGTGTTACCCAGCACCCTCCCTGAGTATCCCCTCTGTAGGCCTGCCTGCTCCTCTGTGAATTGAGGCAGGCGAACCAAATGGCCGCAGGTGTCTTTTTTGGTCTGGACACCATTTCCTTGTCAAGGGTCAGAGCTTCAGCTATCCAAGCAGAGTTCACAACTTTTTGCCATTGTCCCAGCTCCCCCATCCCAAACCTGACAGTCCTGGAATGAAGGAGGAAAGGCAAGCGGATGGAAATGATGGGCGTCTGGAACACAGGTGGATCCTCCACCAAGAGCATCAGCTGAAGACCGTGTCTGCCCCATTTGGCTTTGGGCTTTAACCAACCACCCTCCCTCAGCCGCTGAGGGCTGCTTCAAACTGCCAGCTCGGTCCGCAGGCGATCGGCGCAAGGGCCTGTACCCAGCACAGCCCTTCTGCTGGCCTCGGGGAACCTTCTCAGAAGAGGACACAGGACCCCAGACCTCCACAGGGACATCCCAGTGGGCCTTCCCCGGCCTGACTCACTGAGACAAGTCGGTGTGAGCACCCAGGGACCGGAGCTGCTGTCACAACGTCTGACACAGAGACGGAGACACAGACAGGCAGACAGAGACGGACAGGAAGGCTCTCTAGCCGGTGCAGCCAGGCAGTGGTGACGGAGGGCCCTGAGGACCGCCGGGCCCAGCTTCATCTCTTGTGCAGCCTGAGCCCAAGGTTGAGGGGAGGGAGGAGATGGAGGCAGCTGGATGGAGGCAGGACCCCTGAGAGAAGGCTATCTCCTTTGGTATCTGGGCTGATGGCTGAAGGGTCCGGGGAGTAAGGAGAGCTTCAGTGTCTCATGGCTTCCCTCACTCTCCTGCTTCGTGCAGAGACAGCCAAGAGTGAGCTGGCTCTGCTTCCATCTGTCACCGCCCATACTAGCTGCTCTCTACCTCCCAGAGTCTGAGATTCCACTATCTCAGATGCGCTCACTGCTCTGGCTCTGGAAGGTTTTTGTCTTTCAGAGGTTCTAGGAGCCTTGGCAGAGCTCAGCACATGCCCCATCACAGGGTGAGAGGGAATCCTCCTGGGCGGGGCCTTCAGGGCTCCGCCCCCAGGTTTCATCCCAGGCTCTGCCCTCTGGCACTCAGAGGGCCTGCTGACATTCCATGCAGGTTATGTGCTCTGAACCCTCCAAGGCTCAGGGGGACCCAGGAAGGGACTGCAGATAGCTCAGCTGTGTGGCTTCCAATGCAGGAGTCTCCTGGAAAAGGGGTGTTCCTGCCAGGGACCCAGACCTCTCTTAGACTTGCCGGAAAAAGACTAGGCCTTTGCTCTCAATAAAGCCAGAGAGAATTGAAAAGATTGCTCTGGGAGACTGCTCTGGCCAGGGACTTGGCTCAGTGGATCTTTCCAGTCTCACATGCAGGATGATGGCTCTCCAAGGTGGTGGGCAGCTCTGCGTGGCCCTGGGCTGGGGGGTTAGGGGGTGCTCTCAGGACTGGGCTCCTAACACTGAGGATAGGATGGTGTGATCCCCTGGATGGCCTGGGAGTTGGGTCAGCAGAGATCCACTCTGGAGGCCACCTGGTTGGCCACCTGATTTTGCCAGTCCTTCCAGACAAGGGGAAGAGAAGAAGGTGGCCGGGGTTATGCCCCAGAGGCAGGGGTCCTAGCTGATAGCTATAGCTCCAGCTTTAACAGTCATTTCTGGCTTGCAGGGCAGGAAGGGGGGGACTCATTTTCTTTACTTTCATGCGGGGGCTTGGACAAAAGGTTTTTGGCATTCAGAGTCAAAGACCATTATCTGAATTGTTGGTGAATGGCTATCCAATGATTGAATTTCCATCTCTCTCCTCCAGAAAGTCCCAAATGGCCCCCTAAGGCCAGAGGCGGGTACGTGGGGCATGGAGCCCAGGACTAGAGCCGAGGCCTGCTAGGTGAGTGTCCTGCACACGGCTGGGCTGCAGGCCTATCGGTCCTCTCTGGGCCCTCTGGACTGTTGTTGATGAGACACCAAGAAAGAAGAGGGTCAGGGCAAGGAAGGAGGACGGTCGCCTGTTTCCAAATCAAAACCTTGGTGGAAAAATTCGAGCTCCACTTGGGAATGATGGTGCCGAGGACAGAGGAGGACAGGCTGACGGGGTCAGGAGACCAGAGACGAGCACCCAGTCAGAGAGGGGGCCGTGAGCGAGGGGGTGAGATAAACTGCCCCCAACCTAGTGCTGAGAGAAGGGAAGGGATCGGGAGGAGGAAGAAGGAAGACTCAAAGTCCAGAGCGGCTTCCTCAAAGCCACCCAGCCTCTCTCTCTGGGAGCAGCTATACCCACAGAAGGAAGGCTAACGGGCACCAAAGCCAAACCTGCTCTCAAGTTGCATCCACTGAAAAAACATGTGGCCCTGGAGGGAGCTGTCGTGGAGGCCCCCAACTTGCCCGAAGGAGAAGGCAGGACCCTCGTGTCCAAACCCTGAGCCAGAAATCTGCCAAGCACAAGAGGCTGAAGCCACCAGGGCTGCTGAGAGCCCAGGCCTTCCTCGGAGGCACCTTGGTCTGCTCGGTTACCAGGAAAGAAGAAGTGGGTCACCATGCCTTTCCTGCCCTGTAGGAGCAGCCCGTGGAAGGAGCAGAGAATAGCTCGGTCCAAGTCTCGCGGACTCAGCCTCACTGGTTCGCGCCTGGGTCCTGGGTGGCTGCAGCGGCCGTGGCTGCCCGCATCATCCAACACAGCACTTTGGATGCATACCCTCACCGGCCAGTCCGCCTTCCTCTCACAGGTGACTGCCAGAGCCTGAGCTGACCCTGAGGTGCTGCGTGGCCAGGGCAGAAATGACAGGGGCTGCCAGTCAGGGTGAGGGGAGAGCCCAGCCCAGTGCTGAGGGCTGCGGAGAAGCTGGGCAGAGCAGGAACACGGACTGAGTAGTGAGGCGAGGTGGAGGCAAAGTCTGGCATGAGAAGTGACCATGCGAGTGTGTTAAGTGGCTCGGGGTGGAATGGATTTCCAAACTCAAGAGTGGCAGTGACCAGTGTGGATGCTGGAACTTATCAGGTCGGTGGATAAAGGGCTAAGGAGACATGCAAAAGGAAGCGGGGTGATGAGATCAAATACAAAACCAGGAGCTGTGCGCTAGAGTGCCACCGCCTGGCCGTGGTGGGAATTGCATGGGTGGAGGGTGGATGGGGCCAGTGTGGGATCTAAGAGGACAGGCTGGGCAGCCGACGGTGACACTGCCCCGTCTGCAGCGGGCTGCTCTGTAACTGGGGAGCCCGGAAATCAGGGCTGCTCAGGCCCCAGGCAGAGAGGTCCAGGCCCCGGGCTCTGTGCTGGAGCTCCCAGAGGGGAGCTCCCTGCAGCGGGCAGGGCCAGTGCTCCGCTGACCGACTCTTACCTTTGGTTTTAAAAGCAAAGTGACAGTGCTTGCACACATAGGGCCGGACGTCAGTGTGGGTGCGGATGTGTTTCTTCAGCATGCTGGGCTTCTTGCAGCGAATTCCACACTCCTCACAAACATATTTCCCTCGGCCGCGGCCTCGCACATATACATACTCTTCGTTTGATTTGTACCTATGAGCAACAGGCGTCATGGTAAAGTAACAAAAAAGGAGGAGAGGAGGCAGGTTCCCACCTCAGAAGATGCACGCGCTTCCTGGCCTCATCCAGCTCTTAGGGGCGGGGGGAGGGGGGACGCGGAGCAGAGAGAACCAGGGGTGGGGGATCCACCATGGAGCCCTGCACCTGCCCTGTCCTCAGACAGGGGGATGGGGGCGCGCCCCCTCCTGTCCCTCAGAGGCAGCAGGCCCTGGTGTTCCTGGCCGGGAGGGAAGCCACAGGAGCACAGAGGGTCTCTGGCCCAGATCCAGCCTCATCATCAGCTTCTGCTTCCAAAGAGCAGCCGCTCCGGGCCACCATGTAACAGAAAGACTATAATAGATGACAACCACAGCTCCGGCAGCCACCACTGAGCCAGTGCTCACCCTGTTGCCGGACACCTGCCCACGTTCAGTCACAACCACCACGGAGAGCCCGAGGCTTCCACAGCTAGAAAGGGACAGAACTTCTGAATCTGCCTGCCCCAGAGCCTGTCCATCCCCCACGAGGGGCGACCAGCACCAAGACAGTCCGCTCAGAGGCCCGCCAGACGCGCACGTGATGGGAGAGCGGAGGGCGCTTATTTCCTGGTCCTCAGAGTCAAGACAGCCGGGGCCCGAAGCACTCTCTCCAGTCTTTTCCGTCTTGAGCCGAGCAGGAAGCTCTCAGGACCCAGATTCCAGCCACCTGGCCTCTCTCCGGGGATCACCTGGGGTCCTAGCAGGAAGTACCGTCAGCCTGCAGGAGCCTCCTGGGGCGGCCGGCCTGCCTGCTGGGCCTCAGGGCCACCGTGCTCTTGGCCGTGAATCAGAATGCTCTTATTTCCACTTAGAAGGAACACATGAGTCCCACAAGCTCACTCGATACCGTCCTCCTCAGAACGCCATGTTGGCCTAATGCTGTAGATGTGTGAGTGTCTTGACAGGGATGGGAAGGCTGTGGCAGGGCCCATGGAGGAAATCCTGGCATAATTCCAGGAGAAGAGCTTTCCGATTGTGAGGCCCAGGATCCGAGGGCATAGGCACCTTGGAAGAGGTGTGGCTTTCTCAGCCTGCAGAGTCTGCAGCCAATGCCCAGCAGGAGGCCTGCCTGTGTCCACACTCACCTGTATATCTCCCTCCCACCCAGCAGGTTTGGCGCTCAGATTCTGGGTGGGGGTTCAGAGAGGCAGGGAGGGGACTTGGGGTAGGGGAAGGTGAGGAAGTGACAGCGGCTGGGATTCAGTCCTGCTCCGCTGGGACCATCAGCTCACAGCTGAGAGAATGTCACCAGGATAGGCCTGCAGGAGGGGACTCTGAGGGAGGGACCTGGTGGGCAGAGGCACAGTGATCACCAACACTCACGCTCAGATGCACGCACACACCACACCACTTCCACTCTGCCCTGCTTGGAGGTTCCATGACAGCCTCTCCCCTCTCACTTCCAACCACGATGGAGCCTTTGGGTCCCCTGTCTTTCACCCCCTCCCACCCAGGCCTACAGCTGCCCCAATTTCTACCACATATGTGCCTCCCTCTGTACATAAGACAACTCAGAAGGAGGCAGACAGTCCATCGAAATTGGCTACTCTCAGCCCCTTCATTCTCCCTCAATAGCGAGTTTAAACCACAGGTGGGTGCCCAAATGGAGACACACACGTACACAGAGAAAGGACTCTGCTCGAGCCTCCAAGGGTGGTGCCGTGACTCGGGGGATGGGGTGAGAAGGCATGTATGCAACCCGGGACACCACTTTGTCACACTCCATGGAAGGTGCACCACCTGCTGGGGAGCACAAGGGAGGAGCCTGGGTTGAGAGGGGCTAGAGAGGATGCTGAGAGATGGAGGCAAGAAGGCAGGACCCCAGGCAGGGACCCCAGCAGCAAAGGCACGAGTGTTAAGATGCCTGGAGAGTTTGGTGGGCAGGGCAGACTGGATCATCATCAGCCTTGAATGCCATGCCAAAAAGCCGAGACTTGGTTAAAGTTGTCTTAAAGGTAAACATAAAGTCTCAACAGAAGATACTTCCTTGGTGCCATGGGGAATGGTCTGTAAGAGGAGAAACAGAATCTGGGTACAAGACACACGTATTGTACGACAGGGATTCAAAGCCTTCTGGATGTAGAATCTATAGATCCTGGTGGCTGTCTGGATGATACAGGGGGCACCATGCAGGAGTAACAAAGATTTCAACTTAGCTAGCTCAAGTGGTACCAGCCACGGGCTTAGAGAGAAACGGTACAGGATTCTAGTCCTTAACTGCTGAATGTGAGATGCTCATGAGAGAATTGAAGACATGTCCACACACAACCAGAATTCCATGGGACTCAGGATGGGACGTGTAGCTTTGTGAGGAGGCAGGTGACTACTCAAGAGAGTATGAAAACAGAAAAAGGACAGTGAGAGGGCCCAGGAAGCACCCAAAGGTAAGGGTGGGTAGAAAGATGGTGCCAAAAGCCACCCCCAAGCAGAGAGATCCTGATAAGGAGCCAGGAGCGAATGTGATTTTGGAGCCAGAGAAAAGAGGTGAGAGGAGGAGGCAGTCAGCAGGGTCCAGGCGATGGAGATCAGGAGAAGGGTGGCCCCTGGGGTCCCAGGACTGGGAGGGGGCAGTTCTGGTTGACCAGCCTGGAGCCTCTGACTTCTCTGCTCCTCAGAGGCCAGTCCTGGGGTCATGCAGCTTGGTGGTTCCCAAAGGACCAAGTCCAGGGACAGGTGTGGGGCAGCTGTCCGGGGTGGGCTGGGCCCTCCTCCCCTTCCCAGCCCAGGATCAGTCCCTCCAGTCTGTGCTGGAGGCTGGATGGTCCCTTAGAGGGATCTCCCTATGAGATCCCACCCCTTCCCCAGCAGCTTCAGGCCTCCACCTTTGGACACATCCCACCACTGTGCAGGCGAGCTCAGTTCTCCTGGTACAGCAACTGCAGCCCCCGCCCCCCAGACCTCAGCCGCTGCTCCACCTGCTTCCCTTGTCCTGCTGGCAGTCACGCCTCCTCACCAGCCCAGCCCAGCTCCCCTGCTGACTGTTCCTGTCAATGTCACGGGCTGCTAAATCTGAGTGACAGTGGCTTTATCCTGTCAGCCCTGTTGCCTGCCATCTGGAGATACCTGCTGGCTTGGTGACCGGGTCTCCTCAGCAAGTTCCTTCTCTGCAACGCCCCCCTCCCCGCCGGTACCAACCTGCATGCTTCTCGTCTCACACCTGCCTCCAGGTGAGCTCCTCCACACACACCTGACGTTCCCCCTGGATGCTCATGGGTCCTCTGTCTTTCCAGCCCTGACCGCTCTGCTGCACATCCAGCTGCCCTCTTGGCGCCTCCCCGGGGGTCTCCAAGCACCTCACGGCCCACATTCCCAGAACCCTGTTTCCACGCCCCGCACCTGGACCACTGCCTCCTGTGTCCCCGCGTCAGTAAACGGCATGCACACCCGGTGGTGGCCAGGCCAGCGTCCCTGGTGCCTCCACATGCTTCAGTCTTCTCGGTCAGTCCATCACCACGGCCTGTCAACGCCACATGCGACGTGTGTTCCAGGGAGGCCCACCTCCCAGCAGCCACAGTCCTCTCTCCTGCACCACTGCATACTTTCTTCTCAAGACAGCCAGAGGGGACTCTCCCCAAACACTGCCCATCCTGCGGCTCCTCCCAGCCCAAGGGTCCACTCAATGCTCCTCCCACTGCGCTCCATAAAGCCCCGCCCCTCACTCAGTGGGTGCTGAAGGCCCCACGCACCTCCTGGTCCAGCTACCCCTCCAGCTCTTCCCTTCACGGCACTTCTCCACCAACCACACCAAATGTCATCCCTTGCCTCCGAGTCCCTTTCCTCTGGCCTTCCACCTCCCCCTACCCTCCCTCCCCCGACCCCCGCCACCACCTGCTACTGTCTGTCTGTCTCCTTCAGGGATCGGCCAATAGGCCCCTTCCTTCAGAGCCCTCTCTCACACCCCCATGGGCCTGGGGGTCCCACTCACTCCTCCTTCACAGCACCTGTCAAGCTGTGTGTCCTGTCGTGGACTCTCACAGGGTAGTCCCTGTTAGCCCCACAGAGGCGGGGACACGTCTGCCTCATCCACTGGTGCATCCCCCGGGGCCTAGCACAGTGCCTGATGCCCTGCAAGTGCTCAGTAGGCATTGCTGGACAGATGGGAGCCAAGCCAGGGCCTTCTTTCCTCGTGTCTACTAGAGACCCTCAGTCAAGAAGCTCCCACAACACGAGTCTCTGAGCACAAGTTCAGTCTGACACTGTGGGCTCCCCATGGACGCGGCACACGGGCAGTCCCTCCCAACTATGGTGGACTGGCTGGCAGAACACCCCCTACTTTCTGGTAGGAACTGCTCTGTGCATAGAGAAAGTGAAAGAAAGTGTAGTCGCTCAGTCGTGTCCGACTCTTTGCGACCCTGTGGACTGTAGCCCACCAGGCTCCTCTGTCCATGGGATTCTCCAAGCAAGAATACTGGAGTGGGTTGCCATTTCCGAGGTCAGCATGAGAACCGAGTCTGAGTCCCGGCTCCCGTGTGAACGTGTTGGGCGACCTTGGTGAAATCACTTCCCTTCCAGCGAAAACAGTGAAACTTTGCCCTTAGATGCAGTCACAAACTTTGCCCTCAGTCACTGCCACAGGCCTGAGGTCATTCAGTCCTCCCACCAGCCCTTGGCCACTTCCCATTTATACAAATGTGAACCAAGGCCCAGGGAGTTCAAGTGATGTGACCAAGATCACACCATCAGCAACTTTTCCACTTCGTCCCCTGTCCCTGCACAGACACTGCCTGGATGCTTTTAGGTGATGCTGACCAAGGTTTCCTTAGCACCTTCCTTCTCTGGGGTGCCCAGGGGCCTGTAAGACAGAGGAGAACAGCACTGCTCTCCTGCAGTCTTCCTGAAAGGCTGCCAGCTCGGGGTGGGACTGAGGGTGTTGACAGCTGCAGAAAAATGCCCTGCAAAGAGCCAGGGAAGGAAGCCAGAAATGCATGGTGGGGTGCCCAGGGGCATGGTCCTGCT